CGCCACCAACAGAGGGACACATAAGAGACACTTTTTCTTCTTTATTGACTGTAGGTGGCTCTGAATGGGAAAGGATAACAATAAAGAGGTTATAAAATAAAAAAGTCAATTGATGGAAACAACACATTAATCACTGCTCTGTGAAACAGGTGTTACTGAACATAAACTCTGGCAAGTCAAGTGTAAAAGTATAATTAGTCAGGCCAAAAAAGAATCTGCAGAGCAACTAGCAAAAAACAAAAACTAATAGTAAAAATTTTTAAGCACATCAGAAACAGGAAGCCAGCCAAACAATCAGTGGAGCTACTGGATGATCGAGATGCTAAAGAAGCACTAAAGGAAGACAAGGCCATTGCGGATAAGTTAACTGAATTCTTTATAGCAGTCTTCACTGCAGAGGATGTGAGGGAGATTCCCATATCTGAGACATTCTTTTTGGTGACAAATCTGTGGAACCGTCCCAGATCGAGCATACAAGGTCAAAGTGGGTAACTGTCATGCCCAAGCCACACAACAGAAATAGTATAACTGTATAGGAAGCCAGAACTAAGTTCTAGATCACACACTCTATGCCCCTGTCGACACTAGAGAACCTTTTGAAAAAAATTCCCATTATTGTCAACACCAGTTCAGATTAATCGGATTTAGCAACTTTCAGAGTTTTAGTGAAGATGTGGTGCCCATTACTGACACTGTTTTCAGCACTATGTCATCTAACCCTGCTATCACAAAGTCTAACTAGATTGGTGCAGAAACTGAATTAATGTTAACAACTGCAGGGAATTCTTCACAATTATCCCTAGAGAAGACATGGCCCAGGTAACTAGTAAAAGTCTCTCACACTACTCAGACTCACTGACTTCCACAGACTCTTTCCAAAGAAAAGACATCTTTCTACTGTCAATGAAATAAAGGTCAAAGTCACATACCCTTTTACTACCATACAGTGTTTTAAATGGACAGTCAATTTGACATCTAGTCAGTGTTAAAAAGTTTTGTTATATTTACCCCTACCAGTAATACATGTACATTTGAATTTTCTTATTGTAAATATTTTTCTCCCCTTTAGCTGTCAGATCCCCCCCCTCCCACACACACACTTGCACACAATAGGGGAAAACTATTAAACGAATTCTACAAGAAATACAGTAAATACACAAAGTAAAATGTAAATAACACTTTCCCCAATCTCCTGTGTTATTTATAACACTATAGTAGATTAGGACATTTTAAAAAGTGGGGTTTTTAAACTGACTGCATCTGTTAAAGTGTAGCAAAGTCCTATCTGCAAGCTGGTATGGTAAAATTTTGCTCAGAAGAAAACCTAACATTTCTCCTCTTAATGAGCTACCTTCAAAATATTTTCACAATCCCTGACTTCAGCTAAAATGCTTTCACAAAAATCATAACTTTTTTTTGCTATTTGTATATGTTTCTAGAGTACTTGCATTTGGAGAGGTAAAATGATGGTATAACTCTCATTTTCTCAACTTGGGTGTCCTTTAATTCTTATCCCAACCAGCAGTAGCAAAAACTGATTTGTACAGAACAGCCTACTTATTCCCCATCTTATGTCACACACTGAAATTCTACACAACTATCCCAGTCGGATGGGATGCTGTGCAGTAAATGTTTCAGCATCTAAGCTTTCATGAATAATATAAAAGTTAGTCTTCAGGAGTGGCTATCTGGAAAAACTCCCAATGCAGCCACATTCACTTTTCTAACCCAGATCTATTTCTCTTCATATTCAGTGCCTTGAGCTGCCACTAGAAGGAACAAGTGGGATTTGGAGGATGAAGGAGAGACAAGAGGAATAAACTACTCTCCAGTTGCTCAACAGGCACCTTCTCAGTCAATTCCATCCAACCCTCCCTAGCTAAAGAGGAGAATATGACAGATTCACACCTGGGGACTTAACTTCCTTTGCCTTAGAAGAGGGAGTAAATCCAGCCTCGGCATTCAAATGCCGGCACCACGCCAGCAGGACCCAAATCTAGGGAAGATTTTTCTCTCAGCGGCCTGCAGCCCACACAACAGCAGCTGCCGCCAGGCACCCAGGGCTGAACCCGAGTCCCACGGAAATCAGCGGAGCAGAGATAGGAAACATCCCACCCGCCCCCTCAAACACGTGTACCCCCATATGCCCGCCCGCACCCCTGGCTCCCTGGGGAGATCCGCTCAGCCCCAGCGCGCCCAGCCCGGCCGTGGCGGCGGCTCCGGACCCGCCCGCAGCGGGCCGCGCCCCGTACCCGTGTTGTAGACGTGCAGCTCGTCGGCGATGCCCTCGTTGCCGCCCCCGAAGATGATCACCAGCTCGCGGATGGCCACGGCGCGGTGCCCGTGGCGGGAGCGGGGCACCGGCCCGGTGGACGAAGGGACCCGCCTCCAGCTCAGGGCAGCAGCAGCGGCGGCGGCCGCCGCCATCTTGGCGCCACTCCCACAATGCACCGCGCGGGCGAAGGGTGGCCGCGGGTGGCGAGAAGAGGCGGCGTGTGGACTGCGCGCGCGCAGCAGCCGCCCCAAGGGAACGTCCCTTTGATTGCGTCAGACCCACGCCAGCGTAGCGTGTGGGGCAGGGAACTGCGCCCTGCAGGGCTCTGCTCCCTGCAGCAGTTACTCAGCGGTGGTGGAGTGTAAGAAACTCCTGTTGTAAAAAACTGCTACCTGAGGTAGCAAATTCCTACAGATGGCAACTTGTGCCTGGCACTCCTGGCAGGACAAAGTATTATCATAGACTCGCAGGACTGGAAGGGACCTCGAGAGGTCATCTAGTCCAGTCCCCTGCACTCAAGGCAGGGCTAAGGGCTTGGCTACACTTGCAAGTTAAAGTGCATTAAATCAGCCCCGGGCGCCCTAACTCCTGAGGTGTCCACACTGGCAAGGCACATGGAGCACCTGGACTCTGCGACTGGAGCGCCCCAGTAATCCACCTCCTTGAGGAGCATAACACTTGCTGTGCCCTGGTTGGAGCACCACAGCACCAGTGTGGACGCCCTGGTCTATTAATGTGCTCTGATCGGCCTCCAGAAGTGTCCCACAATGCCTATTCTAGCCACTCTGGACATCACTTTGAACTCTACTGCCCTGCCCTCAGGTGACCAACTGTCAGACCCGCCCTTTAAATTCTCTGGGAATTTTGAAAATCCCATTCCTGTTTGCTCAGCCAGGCGTGGAGTGCTCTCAGCGCATCTTTCCAGGTGGACCATGCCTCCACGTGCCAGGCGATCCCCAGTATGGAGCAATGGCGAGTTGCTGGACCTCATCAGTGTTTGTGGGGAGGAAGCTGTCCAGTCCCAGCTGTGCTCCAGCCGTAGGAATTACGATACCTTCGGGCAGATATCAAGGGGATGGAAAGGGGCCATGACCGGGACACACAGCAGTGCAGGGTTAATGTGAAGGAGCTGCGGAATGCCTACCGCAAAGGGCGCGAGGCAAACTGCCACTCAGGTGCTGCCCCCACGACCTGCTCTTTCTACAAAGAGCTGAACGCAATACTTGGGGGCGACCCCACCTCCACTCCGAAGACCACCATGGCCACTTCAGAGGCCAGTTCAACAAGGCAGGAGGAGGAAAGTGGGAGTGAGGATGCTGAGGAGGAGGGGGACAGCCTGACAGCCCTAGATGCATGCAGCCAGGAGCTGTTTTCAAGCCAGGAGGAAGGTAGCCAGTCGCAGCAGACAGTGCTTGGGGAAGAACAAACAGCAGAGGAGGTGCCCGGTAAGTGGCTTTTATTTTGGGAAGGTAGTTGTTCGGTGCGGGCTCTTGGGGCGAGGAAGGTTAGGGCTTCATGCATGCCTAGATGCGGAATAGGGCGTTGATGTGCTCTCTCACATCGCGGTAATCGGCCTCAATGATCTCTTCAAAGGTCTCATGCAGTAGTTGGGCAATCCACTTGCGCAGGTTCCTTAGCAGAACAGCTGTGCTCCCTGTCCCGTAAGGCTAACATATCCACACCACTGTGTCATGACGGGCAGGGGGACCATTGCTGCACACAGGCAAGCTGCATATGGGCCAGGGCGGAAGCTGCATTGTAGTAGAAGACCCTCCCTTGCTTCCCAGGTCACCCTCAGCAGCGAGATATCTTCCAGGACGAACTCATCCTGTGGAAAATGTGGGGACGGTGTTCAGTATAGGGGCCCCCCGCAGCTGTTGGCTCTCCCCAAGGCACAGAACCCCAGAGGACAGTACAGCCATGAAACAATCAGTCCCCCTTGCCCCTGTGTTTACTCACCATTTTGGGGCTCCTGTGGGTTGTGTGTGCTTGCTTTGGGATGGGCAATTTCTGCTATTGTGTACACTGTACTTGTCTTTAAGTAGGGCCGAATCATTGCTCTGTCTGGTGTGAACAATACTGCCTCTGTTAAGTGTTGCATTTTGGCTTTACAGATGCAACCTTGAGAACCCAGCCGTCCTTGTTATCAACGTCCGAAAGACTCAAAAGAATTAGGAAGCGTCCGCAAAGAAGCAAAGAGGACCTGCTGCATGACTTAATCAGGGCCGGCTCTAGGCACCAGCAAAACAAGCTGGTGCTTGGGGCGGCACATTTTTAGGGGCGGCATGGCCGGCGCCAGAATGCCGCCCCTAAAAATGTGCCCCGGCCGCCCTAGCTCACCTCCGCTGCTGCTGCCATGGCACGCGAATCAGCCGTTTGAGAGCCTGGGGGGGAGGAGGCAGGGCTGGGGGATTTGGGGGAAGGGGCATAGTTGAGGTGGGGCCGGGGGTAAGGTAATTAAATGGGGGGGGTGGCCAAAATTGTTTTTGCTTTGGGCGGCAAAAATCCTAGAGCCGGCCCTGACTTAATGAAAATCAAAAAGTGCAGGAGTGGCGGGAGAGTGAAAGGAGGCTCCGCCAACAGAATGTGGCTTGCCGACACCAAAGCATGGAGTGGCTGCTAAGCATCGTGGAGCGCCAAGCAGACTTGATACAGGCACTCGTAGCAATGCAGACAGAGCACTTCCGTGCCCCGCCCCCCCAGCTCTTGTCCCAAAACTCTTTCCCTTGTGCTCCCATGTCACCGCCAACCCACTTTCCCCAAGATCCGGGTTCTTATCGCCACCAGTTGCCTCCAACACCTGTAGCTTCACCACCCAGCCCTGCAAACTACAACCCTTACCCACTGCACTCAACCCCCATCACCATGCATTTTAGCCAGCCTGAAGTGCAGCACTCATTGCACGGCACTCCAAACAGGAAGGCTGAGTATGATAACAAGACATACGCAAATCTCTTATTGTCCCGTTCCCCATCCTCTTCCCTCATCCCCCACAGCACAGATTTGTCATGCCCTGTTTCCCAAACAGTTGTGTTTCTTTTCAATAAATGAATTCTTTGGCTTTGAAAACATTCTTTATTATTGCATTAAGTAAAAGATACTATAGCTCAGGAAAGCAACAGGCACTGCAAGACAGTGCATCATACGTAGCAAACACACATTACTGGTGGCTTTCAACATCAAATTGCTCCCTCAAGCATCCCTAATCCCGTGCTGGGCCCCTCTAATAGTCCTGGTCTCTGGCTGTTCAAATTCAGCCTCCAGGTGTTGAAACTCCAAGGTCCATGCCTGAGTGAAGCTTTCACCCTTCCCTTCACAAATGTTATGGAGGGTACAGCACGCGGATATAACCCCGGGGATGTTGTCATCGGACAAGTCCAGCTCCCATACAGACAGCATCAGTGGCCCTTTAAACGGCCAAAAGCACACTCCACAGTCATTCTGCACCGACTCAGCCTGTTGTTGAACCACTCCTTGCTGCTGTCAAGGCTCCCTGTGTAGGGTTTCATGAGCCATGGCATTAAAAGATAAGCGGGGTCTTCAGTGGGCATTTCGACTTCCCCTACGTTGATCTTCTGGTCTGGGAAGAAAGTCCCGGCTTGCAGCTTCCTGAACAGGCCTGTGTTCCGAAAGATGCGTGCGTCATGCACCTTTCTGGACTAGCCTGTGTTAATGTCAATGAAACACCCACAGTGATCCACAAGCACCTGGAGAACCATAGAGAAATAGCCCTTCCAATTTATGTTCTTGAAGGCTAGGTGGGCTGGTGCCAGAATAGGAATGTGTGTCCCATCTATCACGCCTCCACAGTTAGGGAAACCCATTTGTGCAAAGCCAGCCACAATGTCACGCATGTTACCCAGAGTCACGGTTCTTCTGAGCAGGATGCGATTAATGGCCTTGCAAACTTGCATCAACACGATTCCAAGAGTCTACTTTCCCACTCCAAACTGGTTAACGACCGATTGGTAGCTGTCTGGAGTTGCCAGATTCCAGATTGCAATAGCCACTCACTTCTCCACTGGCAGGGAAGCTCTCAATCTCGTGTCCTTGCGCCGCAGGGTGGGGGCAAGCTCAGCACACAGTCCCATGAAAGTGGCTTTCTCATCCGAAAGTTCTGCAGCCACTGCTCATCATCCCAGACTTGCAAGACGATGTGATACCACCACCCAGTGCTTGTTTCCTGAGCCCAAAAGCAGCGTTCCACTGTGGGGAGGCATGTCCATGAGTGCCACAAACATTCTCGTGTCGTATGCGTTACGCGAGTTGACATCATCATCGGACTCCTCACTGTCAGTTTGTAGCTTAAGGAGTAACTCGACTGCAATTCGTGACAGGCTGGCAAGACCCATCAACATATTCTTCACAAGTTCAGGATCCATTCCCGCAGACCGAAAGGGAAGACAGAGCGCGCAGTACAAAAAACATTGAAAGATGGTGCCAAATGTGGATGGAAGCACAGGGATTGCTGGGATCTGAAGCGATGCATCACGGGGCATTGGGACAGGACCCAGAATGCCCCGCACACACCCCTGCCTCCTTCCCATAAGCCACAGCACCAGAATGGGGAGAGGTGCTCTGTGG